TATACGAAGTACGTAGGGAACGCACTCCTTTTGTCAGGATAGTGATACGCGTTTAAAACCGAGTATAGCTATACGTGGTCGTTCAGACGAGGGAAATTTATCGCGAGTACGTACGAAACTCTGTTTGGTACGCGTACGAACCGTGGATTTTGCTACGTGTGAACGCGCTATTAGACGGTACTATAAGTATGCAGATGCGCTAGGCGCAGGCATAGGCGAGATAATACATGAATCTGACCAAGAGTGGATAACAGACACATTATTATGACAAATTTGTCATTATTCACCCGTGTTATTAACTTATTATGTACTCTTGCTCTGAATATCATATTTCCGCAACTTGCACAAATATTTCTGCGTCCAGGCTGATCGTGGGCCCATTTCGCAGCTAAAGGTTATCAGTTAAGCACAACGCACACACCCGAGCGAAACACGAAATTTTGTTTTCCAGCGTTTCGCGTTCTGCTGAGCGAGCAAGCGCACACAGCTGAGCAAAACATACAGAAACACTGCGCACAGCGCCGCTGTCACATGACATCCAAAATAGCCATCCAATGGACATCCAATTTTGTGTGTCATGTGATATTTTTAAGGATATTGATTGGAGACCTTCTGTGGCGTTTCGCTGTGTAGCAGAACAATTGACGCACACACCCGAGCAAAACATACGCTCAGGCGAAACACGCTCCGCAAGTCAAACATTGCTTGTTCAGCGAAACACGCTCAGCTGAGCAATGTTTCTTGTTTCGGGAATCCGCACACAGCCACGAACATCGAACGAAACATGTTTTGCTCCACGTTCCGGTGTTTTGCTCGGGTGTGTGCGTTGGGCTTTACACTCACTAACTAGGAAAACTTAAGATGCAACAAATAACACAACTGAGAGCTTACTCTTAATCTACGTACACCCGCACATTCATGACAACCAATAGCTGCCACAAATGCATCGTAACTCGCCCAGCTAAGCTAAGCTAAGCTTTAAAAATTCATTCTAAGCCATTCACTGCCTTTACAATCGCTCATTCACTTTAACTGCACTTTGCGTTTGGGCAATGCAGGAGGTATTTTATACTCGGTTACAAATGCCTCCCCACTGCTTGCGCCATGTGATTACTCTTCACCGCGAACCGCTCCCTCCACTCTATCCACACCAGCGACAGAAACCCCAGTTCCCCAACTAAAGAAACTTCAGACCCTTTGGGTTACAAGAAAAGAAGGTTCACTCTATTCTCTACCGCAGCACTGGAGTTAGTCGTAAAGTACTATAAGTGAGAAAACTGAAATACTGATAGGGCAGGGAGTAAGTAACAATTTTAAAGTTATCACTTACTATCATGTTATCGTCCATTGGGTTGCTAAGTAATTGTTGATGCAGAGTGGGTCCAGTGAACTCATATCGCCTCAGCTGCATTTCCACCTCATCATCAGCATTACTGTATGAGTACTCTGCTTGGTTGCTGTGCTGCATGATTGCTGTGAACTCCCTTGAACAACGTTGAAACGTTAAGGTCAAGATTGGAAAGTGAAAGTCAAGGTGATTGAGAACTAGGGAGAAATCCACTAACTATTTTTTATTAATTATCATTTTTAAATTGTGGCGAATGTTGACGTACAAAGTGGATGGACACTATTGCAAATTCATGAGATTCAGTGATTGGATATTTTATCCACGCATTCGCGGCATTTGGCAAAGGTCGCTCAATGCTGGTTCAAAACAGCTACCAAGAGGATAGTCTAGAAAACTGGGGTGATTCACGAAATCAGAAGCAATAGAATGGCACGTGATCTCATGAACACTTGGCTCACACAGGCCTGCACTTACCCATCATTAGCAACATGATTCCACAATTCATGAAACGTATCTTGTGACAGTGGCGGCGTAAGATTCTCGGAATCCGTCATCACGTTAGCTGTTTGTATACTCTAATACAGGCATGTAGCTCTGAAGTCAAGCAATTCTAAATGTCAGTGCCGACTCGCTTTTTTGTCACTCCACTCCGATACATAACACATCGTGTATTTAGAACACTTTACATGATAAGCAGTTTATATAAATTTATTGTGAATAACTTACACCACGCTGTTACAGATTTCAACTGGAGACCACGAGTAGTGGTAGAACCACACTACTGAAACGACAGTTACTGTAATTGCAGTAGACGTTGTAGTGGTAGTGTGAGCAGCTGATGTAGTGTGGTCACTGCATTGCATCATTTTCAAACTACCTAGAGCATTATAGCAGTCACACATGTATATATAGCAGGAATCAAAAAGATTCACAACTTCTTGACAACAAAATTGAACAAGCTATAACTATATATAACTTACCTATATATATCCTAGATAGATAACTAACCCCAGAAAACCTCCCAGATTTCAATCATCAACACGTGACAGATCTGGCAGTTTCTCACACACAAATACTATCCTCCACTGTCTGCAGATGCTGACTGCCAGACCTGCGAAGACTGAATGGTCAGAGCTAAAGCAATATAGTCTCTTAATAGCAACAGGTTTGTCCTATAACCTGTCCCTTATATACACCTGTATGGTACATTAGCAGTGATTGACATACACTCCCCCACAGTTGAACAGCTGCCTATTGAAAGTAACAGTAATACTACTACTTAACGAGGTCAGATACACACCATTCAGCTGTCAAGCCGGCATCTTAATGAACTTAACTACACTGTTTACGGAGCTACACTAACAACACGGAACTTTATAGTGATTTTAAAGAATAGTGCATAACAATGATATTCCATCCTCATATCAGCGAAAGTCTGCTTTATGATTCCCAAACATGTATCATCATTATTTACACATTACCACCACAACTTGCTTGCTAGTATATATAAACCCTTACTAGTGCATAAATGCAAGCAGCAGTGGGATTTTATATTAAAGCTACACCATGTACCAAATCTCACTCAACACTAAACTAACCCTTGCTCTTAGCCTGACCAGGCTGAGAGCCTAATATCAACACACATCCTGACACCCATCCACTGGAAAATCTTCTACATTATAAAAACTGTTGAACAACTACGTATATCATAAAGAAAATAATTTAAAAATCACAGTCAGTCATTTTCTAAAATTAGCCAAACCAAACCGGGTTCACACGATACCAATTGCACTGTTGAAGTGTGATCCCTCACTTCATATTATAAAATAGTGCATAACTTGGTAAATAGGCAGTGCCCAGTAGCAACTAGCTACTGCATGCAAGTCAGAAGTTTTTATTGACGCGTTTAGGCAACCATACATGTTAGGTTACAGGGTTCTCCCCAGGATGAAATTCAAACAGGGGGAGGGGGGAGGGAGGGAAAGGAAACTAGGGGGGTCCGGGGGGCGTGTTTTTTTACCGTACCACTAATTAATGCGTAAAATCGCCACCACACCATAGACGGTATTTGGGGTTCTTGTATATATAACATAGCCAAGTCGGTGTACAGTTAGTGTTGGGTGTGGGACAGGTTAACTGTTTGTACTTGTGTATTGTGTGCAGTGCAAGCGTGGCACGGTAAAAATACACGCGCCGGGTGTCCTGGTCGAATGGGAGTTCTTGACGATCGATTCCCGCGCTGGCAAACTTTTATTGTGGTGGAATTTAATCGGGGCGGAGGTAATTTAAACGGGGCGCAACGATTGAAACAGGGGGGAGTTTTCCCAAACGGGGCGCGCGCGCCCCGTTTGCGCAACGTAGGGAGAAACCTGGGTTAGCTGTAGTGACATTTGGAAACTAAGCCAATTGTACGTTTTTGCATAGTTCTAGAACTATAGCAGGGCCGTAACGGCCGCCACGGCAGCACGGCACTGCCGTGGCACTATTTTGACAAAAAAATTGCGCAGGGAACCAAGGAGCTACATATACCAAGGAGGTGTGTCAAAACGACACATGCGTGTGCAGTCATAGTTCCTACTCATAATATATATTTTAGAAATTAGATACTTTAGTCAAAACATCAGCTTTAGCTACATTCCTTTTTGAAATTTACAAATTGACCTTTTAAAATGATCAGAATTGGTTGCTTTCAACATAGCCTGAAAATGCAGGAAATGCCATTTCCAGGCTCTAAATTTCTAAATTCAGACCCCCCCCCCCCCCGCATGGGCTTCGCGACTGCGGCACACACCATAACCTCTACTTATGCTTAATAATTAAACGTGATTAAAGAGGAGAATACTGCATGGCAAGTGTTTTGTAATGTAGCCTGTAGGCTGTAGGCTGTAGGCAACATGTTAAAGCGACGGCTTTAGGTATTTCTTTGATTATCTATGTAACACGGCCGTAAATAGTAAAAAGGTTGTCTTGCATTTTGCATGACAGAATTCACAGGTTTTGTCTATGGAAGGCTATTGGGCCCTAAAATAACATCAGAATAAACTTTTTTTTAGGGCACAATTTATTGGTCTAACTGTACCACTACCAGACAGAAGTACCACGCCACATGTAATGTTGTCGTTGAATGTTCCTACTTCCTACTTGTATGTTCCTTCTAATGCGGACTATAAGTAACATACAATTACAATTGCAATCACAGAAATCCCTTTGTAATCGTAATAATATTGAAAAACACGCTCACCATACACCACCACCGAAAAGCAGCTAGGAGGAACACGCGTGCCGGTATCAAGTACGATCATGTTTTGGGAAGTAGCGTAACCTGGTGGGGATTTTTATCCGCCGCACATACCTATTTTATAAGAAATGTCAATAAAATGGTTTTAAGATATCCTATATGTCGTGTCATAGTTCAAGCTATTCTGTCTCGGCCCTATTAAAAACATAGTTGCATAGATTAGCTTACAAAAGTACATTAGTAGATCACTGGAGCTATTTTTCGTGCATTCATTTCCGTTACTGCGAAACACTACTTCCTGTTTATATTTGAGCATGATGTGAGTTACGTTGAGGCATAAATATAACGTCGAAGTCGTGATAAGTGGAGTTTGTAAATAAAATGAATTTCTCAGAGTTGTTCAAGCAGTCCAACCACCTCTGTGGGTTTTCGCCCAATGGAAAATATTTGGTAAATTTTTGTTCTAGCTCGCTAACTAGTAGTAGTACTACTAGTACTATAGCCCGCGTACAGTTGCTACTGGCGGCAACCGTTGCCACCAGCGGCAACTGTACGCGGGCTATAGTACTACTACTAGAGCTAAAGTATTCACGGATGACAGTTAGAGCTCTGTTAGCTCTAGTACTATACAGGGGCGGCGCGTACGGGGGGGCCCGGGCCCCCCCACTTTTTTGGCAGAAAATATATGTCTATATGTATTTTGTATGATCGGAAAGAAATGCCAAAAAAAAAGAGGGAATAAGGAGGAGAAGAAGGGGGAAAGAGCGAAAGAGAGTGTTTATCCACATTTTCATCTGCCTACTGGAAAATTACAAAGTTTGACGAAGTCCCTCTAGCCTTACTCTAACCAACACTATTCTAGCCTTATTCTAACC